GGCAACCCACCTACAGAAACAATAAAGGCAGAGATGAACGCGATTAAAAAAAATAACGCGCTACATGTGATGTAATTAATCACAATTAACACGATAATTTGACACATCTACGTGATATTGTGGTATTTTTAGCGATGGAAGATGGGAAGCGATTCTTCAAAAACGGTTCTGAGCTGTTGAAATTTACTGTAAACATTAACACCAAGAGGAGTGAATTCAACTCGTAATTAGAATCAGCTGAGCACAAGCTGCTGTGAAGAGCAAAAACCTGCCAGTAATTTGACAGACGTTTCTAACTGCCCAAAGGCGCCACAAGATGGCAGCAAAGCACTACTTATGTTTCAAAGACAATTGAGGCTCAACTTTTTAAAACTTAGGATAGCAACACTGTTGTTGGCCATATTGTTCTGAATCAAATAGTTCACAGGATGTTTGAACAAGCCAAGATTTGAATTTGAAATTGTAAAGATGGGCAGCTTCTTTTGTTAGATGTCACTCGCGTGCATGTTTTTTCTGCGTGTGGAAAAGTGGGAATTTTTGGAACATGCAAACCGGTTGTCTTAATTTAATACTATATATATAAAGTTAAAAGCATAATACATATAATACAAAACTCTTCCAACCTTGGGGTGAACTTCCCATTTGTTTCCTGCGCACGGGAGGCAATGGGGCCCTTCTTGAAAACGGATTGTTCCACTCCGGACTTGGACGCTTGGCTCTTCTCGCCAAGCAGTTTTCACACAGAGGAGCAAAGTCCATCTCTTGCTCTTGTTGAAATTGACCAATGGCAGGTGGCATCTCCTCGTAGACCCTGCCCCTTACGCGGAGCTTCTGCAGGTGGTTTGGATGATGAGCTGCTTTCCTGGACGCGCCTTTACTCAACTTCTCCGTCTCGGGTGGCGGTCTATCTTCCGTGGCAACCTTGTGCTCCATCCCCTCACTGTAGCCGCTGTCTGCCTTAGCGGCTTTATCTGGCCCCGGTCGGAGCTTCTTCTCCCAGACCAGGAGTGCTTCGGCCCGGTAGCGGGACTGCTCCGGGAACAGTTCCTCCAGCGCCTCGTGCAGGGCGTTCAGCTCCGGGCGGCCTTTGCCGAGCGCCAAGAGGGCTGTGTCGCTGTGGAAGAATTCGCCAACGCTCTTCACCTGTGGTGGATGATAAAAAACTAGACTTAGGATTCCTGGTGTCGATTTTAGGAATGTAAGGAAGATCCAACCTCTCGGGCAAAAGCCGTGTAGAGGCGAGTCACTCGGGATCGGTGCCAACGAGGAAACCCGAGCGCTTCCGAGACGTCCAGTAGGAGCTGCTCAAAGGAGACCACGCCCCTGCGGTTTAAAAGCACCGTCACCTTGGAAAAAAGATGAGCAAAATGACAGCAGTTTTTTTTTTTTTAATATAAATCAAAAATGCAAAAAATGTCATTTTGCTTTTCATACTCATTAATTAGTCGCCAATCATAGGGGATACATACCAAATCCAGGTGTGAAAATCCAACAATTCATAATAAATTCTGATTTCACAATACAATATGTACTTGGTACAAGACGGTCCAAAAAAAAAAAAAAAAAATCACCTAATGAGCCACATGCTGCTTCATCTAAATACAAAAAGTGGGCAGTTTACCTTCCGCGGTGCGCTTGGACTAGGATGCACGACCGTGACCAGACGGGGTCGCTCGGCGCTCTCTTCTGCGTGTCGCCCGTGGAAGAGCGGCAGGTGAGGGGCCGCCCCCCGGATCTGTCCTGGGTGGTGGCGAGCGTGCCAGAGGGGTGGCGGTAGAGGAGGCGCAGCAGCACCCGTACCACCGCCCGTACGCTTCAAAGAAGGGCAGAGGGCTGCTAAAACAAAGGAATGTACGGTATTAGGACTGCTGCAGTTTTGGGAAATCCGGTTTTGAAAGGACCCTCGGAACCAAAATGGCTGATGTCCCGTGTCTTTACAGGCATTGCTTCCTGAGATTTTTTTGTGGTGCTCCTCATAATAGACATGCTGAACAAATTTCATGTCACTCAGTTAAAGCCTCAAGGACTGAACTTTCAAAAAGATCCAAAAATCCGGAGTTGACCACCCCACCTTAAAAAAAAAAACCCTCAAAACTCAGCTCTCCAAAATTGTTTTTAATGTTTGATGATCACTTGCACATTTTTTAAAAATGTTCTTATGAGTTTTTATAATAGTTGTCTGCTTTCGCTGCTTTGTCTGTTTTATTGTACCTCTGTAAAGTGACTGAGTATCTCTACTCAATACTTAAAATCCTCAACAACAAATCATCCTGATCAGATTTGAGATTTTTTTTTTTCCATTACATGGAGCGCAAGTGGTGCCATTTGAGAGACTTCTTGTGGTCCCAGATAAATTATTTAAGCTTTCTTGAGACGGATATACACACACACACACACCTGAACAAAAGCTTCCTTGACTTGCATATATGCATCATTAATGAAGCTTTGAGGACATGCCACATCTTTCACTTTAGACCACAAAGTGTGTGTGCGTGTGTGTGAGAGAGAGTGACGGGTGTGTGTAAGTGGGGTTGTAACAAGAGTGCTTGTGAGCGTGTTTGTATGAATGTTCACATGTTTGTGTGTGAGCGTATTTGTAGAGTATGAGGGTGTGTGCGTGTGCGTGTGCCAGTGTTGCTGAGAATGAGTGTGTGTAGATGTGCGTGATAGAAAAGTGCGAGTTGCTTCTGACTAACAACACAAACCCCATTTTGTTCGATACTCAAAAAAAAACTGCTTGTCTACGAATTGTTTCCTTTGCCCATGTATGACATCGATAGTTGGTCGGTTATAAAAAGCAAACCTCCCCTGTGGTCCTCCATTTCCTTGCCGGGTCGCAGCCATACCGAGCCTTCACAGGTGGTGCCATTTCTGAACAAAACAAGACCGAAATAAGTGAGAACCAAGTTCCGATTGAAAACAAGTCTCTGACGTCACCCCCTCGCGAGCTGAATGTAACAACGGCTGGCGTGACGCGGTTGCCATGGTTATTTGTCAAGCAAGACGGCTTCGCAAAGGAAGTATCGTTAATTGTTACTTCAAATTAAGATACTCGGCCGGTAAAAGTTCTCAGTATAGTTAAACATTATGCTAGTCATAGAAGTAAAATGATTATTCAAACTAGCAAGAATTCAAC